GAGAACAGGAAGAGATTGCACAAGCTTGAAATACAGAAGATGAAAAGGATAAGAAGTAGAAGTGAACACATACACAAGGGGAAGTGGTGGTAATAATGGAATGGACGGGACAGCGAAAATGATTAAATTACCCAGTACTCCACAAATTGGTTGATTTCCTACAGGGGGTAAGTTGTGTTAAAATTTTAGTTGAAAGTGCATATAAGCGTGACCGATACGTACGTATATACGAGTATCGCGAGAATACAACCCGGATTAGTTGCCTCCGCTTTAATGCGCTCGGCAATTATGCGTTTACCCTCCACCGTATTCAGCCTAGAGGCTGCAACGGGAGGGCATCTGGGAATGCTAGCCGAGAGACCAATCACGATTTGAGCATGCGTAGGTATTGCTCCGCTTGTTAGCATGCAAAGAGCGTCCGATTGAGAGAGAACAGAATGATATTCCATTTTATAATATTGATGTTGAGTATTCTCTGGTCTCTGGTGCAGGTCATCCACTTTCAGACTACTCCTTATCTCTCCTTCAGTAACCAGACACTAGCCAATAGGCCAACCATTCCTATGTGGACCTCAGTCAAGTGGGCAGTGAACAGAGTGGCAGTGACAGTGTTCAGTGTATCACTGACCTGAACACATGTTGTACTAGTGGTCAGGGTACCCATCTTGGAGACTGGTATATATTTCCCTGATGGAGATAGACTGCCATTCAATGGAGATGGTGATGATATCTATGAGGTTCGTTTTGATCAGAGTTGACCTACATCGTATGAACAATGCTTCCTCGCCAACTGGTATCTATCGCTGTGATATTGCTGTCCATGATGATACTGACATCTCAGTGAGAGGTGTAGTGTATGTTGGAATGTACACTGACACTGGAGGTATGAGCATTCTTGTGACAAATACAGCTATTACATGTTGAAAGTTTTTGTGGTAAAAATACTACATTAAAACCCATAGGAGCTGTCTCCATAGCATACTGAGGTGACATCTGACCTTAATGGAGCCAATCCTCAGTTCACCCTGGCCTGTATCTCCACTGGTGGACCTGCTACCACTGTCACTTGGACCAGAGACTCCACCACTGTCACCCAAGGAACAACCCAGACTGTGTTGAATTACCCAGTGACTGCGCAGTACACCCACACTCTGACTGTGACTACTGCAGGAGAGTACACCTGCACTGTGCCAAATGACAATCCATCCTCTGATTCAACTAGTATCACTGTGACAGGTATATATACTAGAAGAATGTTGAACATTGTTGGTGAGCGGGAGCGACCCAACTTGGGATTTGTCCGCGATGTTCGGGCTGCATAACGTGCCGCCAGCGCACAGCTTTCCTTTCGTGAAGCAAGACAGATCTACCTGTCGCCGTTACATGCTTACTATTATTGCCAGAACGGTGACCAGGTGAGCAGAACGGTCCTTACCTTACGCTTTCAGCTCGTCTGTCGTGGTCCACTAGGCAGCTGGCATGACAGTAGGCTAGGCAGCGATTGCTCGACAACGCGGCGTGTGTTAGCTGGTCCACCTGGCAGCTGGCATGCAGCAGTGTGTGCACGAGCAATGCTAGCGTATTTGCAAGTTGCAGCTTGGAACCATGAAGATTTGGAAGAGGTACAGCCTCGGTCAGTCACAGAAGGAGGTTGCAGTGCCTGCATGCCGTCGAATGGAGGAGAGTTCTCTATAGCCGGCTAGATAGAACGGCTCATATCGCAAGGCAACGTGTGTGAAAATGTGTAAAAATTTGGAAATAGTAAAAAGAAGCGCGTACAAAGCCGCGCATGTGCACTTACACGGCGTACGACGACGGTCGTATATAATTGGCGAGCGGGAGCGAGCCAACCTAGTCTTTCGTTCGAGCGGAATTTCGTACGTTGTACGTCGTGTAACTGTGCATGCACGGGTTTGTACGCGCTTCTAAATATTTCCAAATTTTTTACACATTTTCACACACGGTGCCTCGCGATATGCGCCGATCGATCTAGCCAGCGAGAGAACTCTCCTCCATTCGACGGCATGCGCTGCAACCTTCGGTGCCTGGTGGACCATGACTGACGAGCTGAAAGCGTATGGTAAGTACCGTTCTGCTCACCTGCTCACCGTTCTGCCAATGTACAATACGCATGTAACGGCGACAGGTAGATCTGTCTTGCTTCACGAAAGGAAAGCTGTGCGCTGACGGCACGTTATGCAGCCCGGGCAAATCCCAAGTTGGGTCGCTCCCGCTCGCCAACAATGTTCAACATTTCCACTAGTATATATAATTATATATCACTGTCACCGCCTCTCTGGGTGGGAACAGAGGAACTCTAGAAGGCAGACTACAGCCACTACATTGATTGCTGGTTAGTATGTGTTAGCTCACACAGAGTGCTCTCTGTTACCCTCTCTTCTCTGTTGTGACCTTCTCTCACCAGAGCTCCATCTGCCCCACCCTCTTCTGTGAGGGTGTCAGTAAATAGTTCCGCTAGTATCACAGTCCAGTGGGGGCCAGTGGAGTGTAGACATCAGAATGGAGAGATAACAGGCTACTGGGTGAGGTATGGAGTGGCAGGGAGCAGCGAGGAAGACAGGAGTGTGCTGATGGTATCAAGAGACAGTGGTGGAATGGCTACAATCTTTGGACTGAGTAAAGAGACAGTCTGCACGGTTCAAGTGGCAGGAGTCACCAGTTCTGGTACTGGAGTAAACACCGATCCTCTCACCTTTGAAACTCCTGATAGTCAGTGAAAAATGTGTTGCTTTGAGGTATACATTTTTAAAAACTTTCCAACAGATGTGTACCTCAGCCTGAATGGTGGTGTCATCCCTAATCATGGCTATTTGGACATCAGTGATATTGGTTCCACTGATACCACTGCTCTACTTTGTAACACAAACCGTCCTCCACCTCCTGGTAGTACCATTTCTGGAGGGGACTGTTTGTACCAGACAGAAAGAGAGTACCTAATGAGGGTGTTCCAGGATTCTACAGAAACAGAGGCCCCATGGTAGTGAGACTGAGGCGGAACATTGCTACTGATCCTGCAGCAGAGGGTATATATCAGTGCATTGTATTGGATGCAGATGGAAATGATCAAATTGTGCATGTTGGACTATACAATAGTGGAAAAGGTAAGTTGAGGGCAGAATAGCTAAGCCTTGTGGTATTGAGGTCTCACATAATGCAGGAGACATTTCAATAGAGACATTAACAGTGCTTGGAGTCAGTGCCCCATTCACCCTGGTCTGTATCTCCACTGGTGGACCTGCTTTGTCCCAGCCACTGATGTTTTCCAGGCCGAGGGTTCAAGCTCTGAGACAGACACCTCGGCAATTATAGGTGGAACAGTGGCTGTGGCCTTTATGATCACTACTTCACTGACAGTCATAGCCATAGTGATTCTAGTGTTGAGAAGCTGCAGAGGGATTTCAACTGCAAGAACACAGTATATTATTTTTCTTAGAGAAAAAACTTTTATTATGTCATAGGGTTGTTCTGTTCTTTTACAGAGGTACAGGCAGAGCTACAAATCAATCATTGGAGCTCTCAGAGGCAACGTATTATGCGTGAGTCTCCCCTAATGAAAAACTAGCTGATGTTACACCATTGTTATTCTACCTAACCAGGGATCCAGACCAGCTCAATACCAATGAGGCCTACATGAGAGGGACAGCTGAAGGTGAATATTATGAGGTACTACGATGCCCTCCAACCACCTCCCCTCAGCCTACTACTGCTGGACCTATGTAACAGTGGACATGCCTCTGCATGAACAGAGCCCACTATACTGTATTAATTTTGCTGTATGGTAAAGCGTGTGACTGTCAATACCTAGCTTCTTGGACGAAGTAAATCACATTCTTGTTGTTCATGGTCATGTAGCACTTAGCCAGCCACACTATTTAAAGACATACAATTATTTCTGCTTAGTGTCAAAATAAAATTGGCTTGCCCACAAAACACATGGGCTGGGCATGTATCCTTCCTAGTATCACTGGCAAGCAATGCGAGCCCATGCCACCTAATAGTTGTCTGAATGCGGGGAAGAAGAGAGCGATCCTCATCAGCGCCTGCGGGACGATAACCTACAAACTGCTGAAGACACTGGTAGCGCCCACCGAACTCACAGCAGAGTCGTTCGCCGAACTCGTCCAGCTGGCTAAGGAGCACTACACTCCGAAGCCGTCCGTCATCATGTGCCGTTTCCGATTCAACACCAGCGTTCGTCAGGACGGAGAGTCGATTACCCGCTTCGTCACCCGCTTCGTCACCCGTCTACGCGATTTGGCGTCGCTCTGCGAATACGGGGACTCTGTGAAAGAGCTGATCAGAGACCGACTAGTCTGTGGAGTGAGGGACGATACACTCCAACGCACCCTACTCGCCGTCGACAAACACACGTACGACAAAGCATATGAGCTCGCTGTTCTTCACGAATCGGCAGCACAGAACTTGCGTCTACTGAGTTTCTTCGTCTACAACACCCGTTCACTACGTCGATCCCGATCCACCGCGTAAAGACATGCGACTGGGGAAGCCGTGCTATCGATGCGGAGGGAAACATTGAGCCACTACATGCCACTTCAAGGATGTCGTGTGTAACTTCTTGTTATAAGAAAGGACGTATCCAACGTGTGTGTCAGAGCCGTCTTCGTCGGCGCAACCCATCATCTCCGCCAGTCAACTCAACGAAGGGCCAACAACCTCGTACACACAAGGAAGATGAGGGACCGGAGTCGCCATCCTCTGCAGTAGACACTGAGGACACAACCGCCACTCAACAGACACCACCCCCAGAACCGTTCCCAGTCGACTACAATGTGTTTGTTGTGGGAACAGACAAGAAGGTGGACCCTTATCTGGCCACAGTTACTATCAAGGTGCAACTCAGCAGATGGAAATTGACACTGGCTCTGCCTTGACTCTTATCAGTCAGGCCACCTTCTCTAAGCTGTGGAAACGCCCCCCACCTGGAGAGTACAGCTGTGTGTCTGAGGACCTACAGTGGAGAAGAACTAGAGGTGGTGGGGAGGGCTGTGGTAAGGGTTAGGTGTGGGGGGCAGGTGGCTGAGGATCTGGGGTTGGTGGTGGTTAGTGGTGGTGGTCCGAGCTTACTCGGTCTGGATTGGTTGGGTAGGTTGAGGTTGGATTGGGGGGCGATTTGCAAACTCCACGCAACGTCGGGCACTCTCGAATCGTTACTCGCAGAACACGCCGATCTCTTCAGAAACGAACTTGGCATGATCAGGGGAGTCATAGCCAAACTCCACGTTAGCTCTGGTGCTAAACCACATTTTCACCATCCTTGTTCCATTCCATACGCTCTCAGGTCGAGAGTAGATCGAGCACTGGAGAAGCTGTTATACGAGGAATCCTGGAACCTGTACAGTTCTCGGAATGGGCAGCACCAATCGTCCCGGTAGTGAAGAGAGACGGCAGCATCCGAGTCTGTGGGGACTATAAACTGACAGTGAATCAAGTGACCCTCGTGGATACATATCCACTTCCCCTGCTCCAAGACATTTTCGCATCGCTCGCCAATGGCAAATCGTTCACGAAACTCGACCTCGCGCACGCTTATCAACAGCTACCTCTTGATGACGACTCGCGGCCCTATACGACGATCAATACATATAAAGGCCTCTTTCGATATACGCGATTACCTTTTTGTGTGGCCGCCGCTCCTGCCATCTTCCAACGTACTATGGAGTCACTCCTGGGAGATCTATCCCACGTTTGCATTTACCTCGACAACATCCTCGTGACTGGAGAGTCGGAAACCGCCCATCTGCGGAATCTGGCAGCTGTACTGGAACGTCTGGAGTCCGCTGGAGCACGCCTGAAACGTGAGAAGTGTTCGCTCATGATCCCTGAGGTCAAGTACTTGGGTCATCGCATCTCAGCAAAAGGGATTCACCCCGTTCCGGAGAAAGTTAGTGCTGTCAGAGAGGCACCCAGACCCAAAGATGTGTCCCAGCTCAGATCGTTCTTGGGCATGGTGAATTATTACGGGAAGTTTCTTCCAAATCGAGCAACACTGCTTCGTCCTCTGTATGACTTGCTCCAGTCAGCCAAGACCTGGAGCTTGGGAGACTCCCAGGAGCAGGCCTTCCCTAAGGCCAAGGAACTACCCTCGTCAGCACCTCTCCTCACACACTATGACCCCAAGAAGCAGTTGATATTGTCGTGTGATGCATCTCCGTATGGAGTTGGTGCCGTGTTGTCACATCGTTTCAATGACAACAGCGAACGTCCAATTGCCTACGCGTCGCGAACGCTCTCGCCAGCCGAACAGAAATACGCACAACTCGACAAGGAGGCACTTAGCATTGTGTTTGGTGTGAAACGCTTTCATCAATATTTGTACGGTCGCAAGTTTACGATCCTCTCAGACCACAAACCCCTTCAATACCTACTCGGAGAAACCAGGGGCATCCCGCCGATGGCCTCTGCTCGTATCCAGTGTTGGGCACTAATGCTTAGTGCCTACCATTACGAGATCTGCTACAAGCCCGGAGCAGACCACGCCAATGCCGATGGCCTCAGCCGTCTACCCATGGCCAACTACATCACTGAAGTGCCCATACCCGGAGACGTTCTCTTGCTGTTCCGCACACTGGGAAGCACACCAGTCAGAGCCACCCAAATCCGCCAATGGACGGATACTGACCCGGTTCTGTCCCGTGTACGCCGGAATCTCCTCGGTGGATGGGTCAAGTTGAATGACCCAGACCTACAACCGTATCAGGATGGGTGCGTTCTATGGGGCAGCAGGGTAGTGATACCTCAGAGGGGGAAAGCAGTTATTGACCTCCTGCACGAACGACACCCCGGAATTACTCGCATGAAGAGGTTGGCAAGGGGGTATGTGCGGTGGCCAGGGATGGATAAGGAGCTAGAGTCAGCAGTCACGACGTGTGTTGAGTGCCAGGAGCATCAGAAATCACAGGCCAAGGCTCCAATGCACCCCTGGGAATGGCCTGAACGACCGTGGGCCAGGATCCACATTGACTATGCCGGACCAATCAGGTGGAAAATGATACTAGTCATTGTGGACGCACACTCGAAGTGGATCGAGGCTCTGGTGGTCAACTCGGCTACATCTAACGCTACTATTGAGAAGCTGCAGTCAGTCTTTGCGACCCATGGCCTGCCAGAAGTGATGGTCTCGGACAATGGGACTGCATTCACAAGTGAAGAATTCGCTGCATTCGTTCAGAAAAATGGCATCCGACATCTGACTAGTGCTCCATACCACCCCGCCTCCAACGTGCTAGCCGAGAGGGCAGTCCAGACCCTCAAGACGGCCCTAAAGAAGGATTCCAGTGGGGTTAGTCTCGAGAAACAGATTCATCACTTTGTCTTCCGTTACCGCATTACGCCTCACTCCACCACGGGTGTTGCACTTGCCGAGCTTCTGTTGGGGCGTAGGCCTCGTTCACGTCTGGACCTCCTACACCCTGAGATAGCTGAGCGGGTCAGAAAGAGGCAGGCAGAGCAAAAGGACCGCCACGACCGCCATTGCCGTGAACGGGAACTGTCGGTAGGTCAGCCAGTTTGGGTCAAGAGACTACTGACGGGCACATCGTGGCTACATGGGACTATCGTTCAAGCGCAAAGCCCTGAACGGTTCCGAATCTGCCTGAGAGATGGCCGTACGGTAGACAGGCATATTGACCATGTCCGACTTCGTGCGGAAGTGGCTGAGGGAGGGTCGGCCGTAGAGCCCGTGTTCCCTGCATCCGTCTTGCTGGAGGACAGAGACCCCACTCCACCTCGTGATGCCCTACCAGCAGATCCGGTCGAACTTCCTCCGCCTCAGCCACGTCGCTCAGTGAGAGACCGACGACCTCCCGAGAGGTTAATGTGAACAGACTTATCCAAACTAAAGGGGGAGGAATTGTGGTAACCTGAACTCTCATTATTCATTGTTGGTCACGTCACATGCGTAGTCACTTCCTGTGCATATATAAGTGTATGTCTCTACCGTCTCTGTGCAGATGATTGAGTGTGACCCGTTCAGTAGTTGTTGTGTGTTGGGCCGCGGTCCCTTGTCACGAACCGTTCAGTTAGGCTAGCACATAACAGGCTCTTCAAGTCAGTATGATGACACCCCTCACCGTAGATGTGATGAAAAGACCCCTACTAGAATCTGTGATCAGATGCCAACAACCATATTCACACACAACCAGTTACAGAGAGTCACACACACAAATAATAGAGCTGATGCAATAACATAACAACAGAAGTATGATGCGTGATCATTATAATGTGCATAAAGACACTAATACAATTTCTAGTAAAATCGACGACAGATAGTGTCACAATAGGACAGTCTCAGTATATAGCAACAAACACACACAACACGAGAAATCAGGGAGCCTGCAGAACAGGCTGGGGTGTGTCACTTACACATGAGGGAAATGACGATTAAAGTATGTTCGGAACATAGCTTCTGTATTTAATTCAACATAAACTGTGCATTGTTATGGCAGCAAGCCCTGACTTTCCAGTTCTCTGGTTGTTGTTTTTTTTATTCGTGCATTGGTTGCCTTGTAGTGAATCGATTTCTCTAGCAAACCTTTTGTTGATGGGTGCTCGTTGTATATTATACATGCAGGCAAGCAGCAGCACCTCATAACTTGTGTTTCTCCCCTTGGAATTACCTTCGAATTATTATTATAGCTAACGAAGGCACGTGTCAACAACGAGGTAGCAAGGCAAAGGCAAAGCAGACAAGTCAACTACACCCAGGACAGCTCCTTTTTCCAAGGAAAAAAGAAGAGGAGCTGCACTGAGTGGAATGTGAACCCAGCATATAATATTCAACTTACTGAGGACATTGTGCAGTTCCATTTTCATTAGCATAAGCTGCATAAAA